GCAGCAGGGCAGCCCCCTCAAGGCTTCTCCTCCTTTCACCGCTTGTGGGGACATCCTCCAGGAGCTCGGCCTGGGGGCAGAGCCCAAGTGTCCTTCCAGCCCTGGAAGGATCACACCCCGAATGTCCTGAAACATGTGGCCTCTGGAGGGTGTTCTGTCAGAGAAGCAGCCAAGCAGGGCTTTGCCAGGACCCCACCATTTGGGAAAAGCTCCCCTGATGTCCCACCTGAACCCCTCCGTGGCCATCACCACCTTGCTGCATTTTCTGCACGCCAAGGAGCAGTGCTGGTTGATGCCAGGCTGCTTCAAGGAAGCAGGAGAGGCAGGAGGAAGTCGGCGAAACGCCTGACAAATCCGAAGCGTGCCGAGCCAAATTCCTCGCTACTGCCAGACAGTGAGACGGAGCCATCGGCTGGGGATTGGAGGAGAGAGGGAACGTAGTGAGTCAGGTGCTGGATACGTCGTGTTTGGTCTCTAAACAGTGCAGGTAACACGGGCAATTGCACTCGGGTCATTCAACCTTTCCCTGCTAAGGTTCTCCTTCCAGTTGCTTAGCAGTTTGCCAAGCATAGTGCGCAGGGTTGAAGGTTTAAGTGCCCTGTATATTTCTCCAACTGAATTTAAAAAAAAAAATAAATTAACTGAATACGTTTCCAGTGAGTCTCTGATAAAAATTTGGGAGAAATACTTCATTTTAGCAGTTGAAAAAAAGAAAATTCAGGATGGAAGCTGCGGTGCCTCGCTGAGGGAGCAGTCCTGGAGCGCAGCAGGTGGCGGGGAAGGAAAACTCCCCATTTACAAACCTCTCTGCGGCTGTTCTCACACAACTGACCCCACGTTTTGACAGAAAAGACCCCAAACCCCAACATCTCTGCCTTTGCAGAAATTCCGTTCGTACAGTTGGTCTCTGCTAACTCTGGCCCTCACGGGGGTCTTGTGGGAAGGGCACTCCGGTCCGAGAGGGAAGGGGCTGGCCCCGTGGAGCCCCTGGCTGCCCCCAAACGGTGACCGAGCTGCAGCCCGGGAGCTGCTTGGCGGCTGCCTGACGCTGCTGTGGCTGGACCCCGCACTGTCTCTCTGAGGCTGCGGCAGCCGAGCAGGATTTGCCTTTTCTCTGCTGTAGACACTATGGAAAAAGGCATAGGAAATGAGGGGAAACACAGCGATTAAAAAAAAGCCCACAGTGAAGCCATTAACTAATGACAAGTGGTTTTAATTGCACTATGTACAAAGGGGCTGACAGAAGTTTTCTGTCGCAGGTTAACATCCGAGAGACTGATTTGGCAACTTCTTTTTCAGAGCTCTTTGGGCATCGCTTCTTGGGATCAGTGTCACCCGGCAGAGACAGCACCGGCAGCCGCGTGTCCTCCTTCGGCCTGCGTGGAAGAGGGGAGAAGGTTTAATGACTGAGCAACTCGGATCCCAGCCACCGCGAGCAGAGGCTCCGTCAGCCCCCTGAGCGGTGAGTAGCGTTGCA